AGACACATCGGTTTAGAAGCTACAATATAAATGAATTGTCAAAAATTAGTCAGGAATACATTGCTGGCAGTCACATTTTTATTGTGGATATATTATAACCGTCATCATTTTAACATCTAAGCATTTTCTATTGGAAAGATCTTGACACCATTAAGGTCAATGAAAGCCCTTGCAGGTGACTTCAAGGTGAGCAAAATGAGGACTTGGAAGACTGACACAAAATGTGTTCCTGGAGAATCATCACAGACATGACTTTAATTACATAGATTAAAAAAAATTACCAGAGTTCTTACCACCCTTGTGATCTAAGTCACCAGGAATTTTTCAGGCTGACAGTTATTAGGACTAGAAATAATCCTTTCTAATGCCATTCCAGTTTTGACAATCAATAAGCAAATTCTGCTCCAATTTTAAACACAGAGTGGAGAATCAGTAGAAGAAATCTACTCAAAAAAAAAAAGAAAGCTCGAGGTTCCTTTCCAGGCAGTCTGTCCAAATACATCTTTGCAGATTGCATTTTACCTTTTTTGTCCTGGCACTCGTGTCTCCTGGCCACCTCCCCTGCTGGGCTCCTGTGGTGATCCTGGCCAGGAGAGTGCTGGACTTGGAGCAATTAATGTCAATGATTCCTTACAGAGACACGGTGTCTTTCTGACAGGCCTCCTGCTGCCAACCAGTTCCACGTGTTTGTGCTTTCCCCTTCAGGTACAGGTCACATAAACTGTTCCCAACTGCACCTGTGACTCACTGGCCATAGGGTTTAGTCCTGGGATAATCATTTGTTGATGTTTCATCCATGCTAAGTAAAGGAGCATTAACCTGCTTAGTCTGAACAAAAGGCAGGTGCCACACCCAACAGGTTCAACAAGATCATGTTGGAACGAGATATCTTTAAGGTCCCTTCCAACCCAAGCCTTTCTATGATTCCATGATTCCATGATCATGGCTGTTTGATTGACCAATCTCCATCATGTTATTACATAATAGGTGACAGGAAGTCAAATGTGAATCTTACTAGGTGAGATAGGAAAGATGATTTGGTTCATTCTGTGGATTAGTGAAGAATTTTAGACTATTATCAAGCCTGCCTATCAGTCACTATAACTGTAAGAACTGTCTGTGCCTTTACTTGGAAATTGTTTCCTTCTTGTAAAAAAATTTTCTTGCTATTCCATATTTTTTTAAAATAATTTAAGCCCATCCTTTTTAGCATTATCTCATTTTTGAAAGGTATTCTGAAGGTACTTTAAATAGGCACTGATTTCACAGTATCACACTGAATACAAACTGAGTGTGCTATTCCTTCCTTTGCTTTCACGGAGCCTCTCCACAGCTGGGCAGCCACAGCAGCTCTCCTTCAGCAAAGAAAACTGGTTGGCCTTGGAAGCTCAGCTTCTATTCCCTAGAGAGCTGAGTCAAGAAAGGAACAATGGCATAGCCTGCAGACTTGCTTTGGCATGGATGATTGCAAGTTACCCATTCCCACATGCAGTAATAGTTTAAAGTATTTCTCATACAGGAAGTTATTCATGTGCCCATGTAAAAGCAATGCACAAGGTGTGTGTCTCAGCAGCCTCAGTCTTGTTCCTGTGTGTCTTGTCTGTGATACACCAAATGTCACAGTTGCCCTGACAGTTTTCAGGAGATAAAACTATCATAAAAATTATATTTTCACTTGATAAAACAATGTCTTGTAAAAAACCCCGCAAATTATTTACATAACATTTAAATGAAAATTTAAATTGCATCCCACAGACAGAATAAATAAAAGAATTTGGTCAAATATTTGGAGAAAGTGCTGTACTCACTATGCTGATAGTCAAACATCCCAAAAGAACTGACACACAGCATATGCCAAGACCAAATCAGCTTGTGTAACTAACAATATTGACACTGGTATTAATGGGAAATATGACAAACTGTCACTGGTAGATGCTTTATTAAACAATATCTAGATACAAGGAAGCTTGAAGTACACCTAGATCAAAAGGGCACATAACAAAGCTTAACAAATGTGTTATGGTGACTATAACACATGGGAAGTAAAAAAACAAAACAAAACCAAAACACACAAAATCCAAAAAACCAAACACCCTCTATCAAAACAAAAAAATAGAATAACTAAAAACAATCACTTTAAAGCCAAAATTTCCTTCATTTTCTTCTCAACAGAAAATGCATTTATGTGCCTCCCAAATTTAACATGTGAATGCCTTGAGCTACTGGAACAGCTGCTTGCCTTTAACTGGAAGGAATAAACTTGACGTCTATTGTTAGAGTATCCTTTCTGTAAATGACAAATTGTTAGTAGGAGCACAGGGATTGTTAAAGGACAAATGTGCTTCCTGTGACAATAGGAAGACAGAGCACATCCTACCAAGGACAAAACCCTCTTCACAGAATCCATGCCATGTACCAGAACGAGGTAAAAAAACCCACACCCACTTTGTGCAGCGTGGAAATTCCTGGGATTTCATTCACTGGGGTGTGGACTGCAACACAAAGCTTGGGTTTGAAATTAGACCAAGGCAGACTATGCAGAAAATTAAAATCATGCAACTGCATCTACAACTCCAGTGTGAGGCTGCTCTTAGCATAGCTGCTAGATTCAGTGATGTTGGAATTAAAGACAAAGCACCTTTTATCTTGTTATATTTATCTTCTTCTATTTTTTTAAAGTAATCATGTTAAATATACTGAGAAACAAAGCCTAAATAGAATAAACACTAAAAAATTTACCAATCCTCAGCTAATCAATACACTGATAGCCTCACGGTGACCTCTATACATTTAAAGGCAACGAGTTTTAACAGCTAATTTGGGAACAATTTGTGATTTGTATCAAAGTTGCAGCCAGTGCTTTTTTAGTATCTGTAAATCTTTTTTTTTTTTTTTCTCTGAAAACCAGCAGAGGGAGACAGGTTCTGTTTTACTGTGAAAGAAAACAGAAGACTGTTACTACGAAAATGACACCTTCTGAAAATTCACTGTAATTTCTTAGCTTAGGCTTGCAATGCCTTTTCTTGGTCATTTTGAACTCTATTATTAATACTCAGTTTTCTTTTTTTTAAAGTGCATATCCAAGCTTAAAAGGCTATTGCTCACATGTGAAGATGTTTAATCAACAGCATGTTCCTATTAATACTTCACTATGGATTTCTCTCAGGGAGAAAGGGGATATCAGTGTTAGTAATGACTGAAGGAAAAATTAGGCTGTGGTTTTGTTTTTGTTGTTTCAGTGTCAGGAAACAGCTTGCATGTGTTTGCAGCATGTCTGAAGTCTGCATATGGCTCCCCAAATCTAAACAATAATCTCAGCTGGCTTTACATATGAGTTCCATATTTTAGGACTAAATATAAGAAGAAAGTTCTGTTCTAAAGTAAAAACCACAGAAACACCTCCTGGTGGTTTCAAGTGCAAGTAAAATGTTCTCTTGGGTTCATTTCTTAGGACCCAGGTCCTGCTTCAGGAAATGGGAATTTAGGCATTACAAGCCAAAAATATTACTACAAATCTTGGCACAGAAACTTAGGTATGTCTCATATGGTTTAGGCAACCTTCTCTACAAAATGACACAACAGGGCATACATTTGAAATTAATAAAATATTTTTTATATTTACCCATAGTTTTGTAGATAAATTATGTCCAGAAGAGCTACTAGAACAGGAACCTGAACAGAAGTTACTTTACACATCTCACTACTTGTTTTATTCTAAATAGTTTGTGATGGTCTATTTTTTTTCATAAACTCCCTTTTTTAGATGGTTTATTTACTCAGAGAAGAAACTTTTAAGAAATGCTTTTTGGATAGAATGCGTTCTAAGCAATATGCACGACTGCTATAATTTTAAATAAATCTTAAATAAAATGAAGTTTCTGAATATTCCTAAAATAGAGTGGAAGCAGAAGAGTTAGAAAATGCATGCAGCAAGTGTGTCAGTGCTGCAGAGTACTCAGGAGGTACCATGGGATAGTTTGTAGTTAGTGGTGTGCTGTGCTAAGGGCTATTACTGTAAGAATGGTGCCAGAAAAACCTGTGTGAGAAATTGTGGGCAACAGGATGTGTGCCTGGAAATAGCAATCATTCCTGGGGTAAAGGTAATTGAGGCAATTGGGAAACCTGCTAGTATTTAAAATCCCAATCACAACCAGTCATGCTTAATCAGACATCCAAAGGCAGGGGATGATCAAACTGCATGATGAGTACTGCTTTGAATTCTCCCATATCAAGAAGTTCAAACAAACTAACCAACACTACCAGTAGGAGTCCTAAACAGGAGAGAGACTTTCACAGGCTAAGGAAGGGTTATAAAGTCTCTCCCAGCTGCCCATATTCCTGTAATTCCATGAAAGATCCAAGCCCTTCCCAATAAAATTTGGTTTTTCCTTTCTGGTACAAGCCAATAGCATGAAACTTCTTGTAGCTACCCAATGTTCCTCAGTAAAAAAACTTCACAGTCCTTTAGGCATTGCAAACCCATGGCAATATTCTACTATTTAAAAAGTATTAAACAATTCCTTATGACATGCTTTTACTTGTAGTCACACAGTGTATATTTGTAAAAAGAAATTTTCCTATCGAGTGCATTCACTGAGGTGTTTTCACATCCCTGGCCACGTCTAAATCTGTTGTGGCTCTGGTCCTTAATCCTTGTATTTTGGTATAGAATTTTTTGTAGTTTTCATAGAGGAAGTTAAGTACACAGTGTGTTCCCTGGAGGACATTTAGAAAACTAGTTTTCAGGTTAAGGGTCAATGATCCAAATTCTGAAAGCAGCAGAATTATTTTTAAATGCCTTAAATCCTTGCCAATATTCTTTAGTTGGTAAATAGGCATCTTCTGCTTAGGGATGACAGTTACAGAACAGAGCACTGGCACATTGTTCAAAGGGGTTTATTGCTTTGTGTTGCTGCTTGCATTCATGAGTAGAAAGACACCCATGCTTGAGGGACTGAACTGGAGAGAGCTTTAATGAAAATTCTCTCAGATTTTGGAAAACTTTTCAGATAGCATTGCTGTGGTCAGCCTCCAGAAAAATGAACCCAACAACATCAGAGGCCAACAACATTAACGTGTCACAACTCACTGAACAACTTACCACAGAGTTTGTGTGCGTGGGAGGGAAACAATCAGAGTGTGGTCATGTGTGCACAGCTCACTGAGAAACTGCAGGGAGGGGACAGCTGATGGACTAACCACACACTTCTGGCCCTGTCACAAAGCCCATCTTTGTGGGTATGCCATCCAACAGAGCAGTTCCACCAAACATAACAGCAACTCCATCTGGATTGAGCTGGTACACACAAGTGTGGCTGTGCAGAGCATATTGGCAATGTCCCTTCTGATCTTCCAGAGAAATCACCCTCAGATCACCTTCCTGGGCTCCACAATCATCCTCCTGCAGTGAAACAATGACACATCAGGCCATGGAGAAATACACAGGCAGCACTGAAGCATTTGGAAATATTAATGTTAAGAAAATTACTTATTTTCCAAACATAAATGCAGTGTTAAGCCTTAAATAGAAATAGCCCTTTGCTTGAGATATATACTGAAGAGCAGCTGGAGGATGTGGAAGAGGATATGGTTAAATGACACCACAGTATTGGCTAATTCTGCTATAATACCAGATCTTCAAACTAAAACCTTCCAACCTCAAGCTGAAAGAGAGTAGATTTAGATCAGGTATTAGGAAAAAAAGTCTTTACTGTGAGAGTGGAGAGGCACTGGCACAGGCTGCCCAGAGAAGGTGTGGATGCCCCATCCCTGGAAATATTTAAGGCCAGGTGGAATAGAGCTCTGGGCAGCCTGGTTTAATGGTCCCTGCCCATGGCAGGGGGTTGGAATGAGATGATCTTTAAGGTCCATTCCAACCCAAATCATTCTGTGATTCGATGATACCTAGAATTGCCACAGTGAAGCAAGTATTTAAGATTATGTGTGTGTGTGTGTGTGTGTGTGTGGTGAAAGTATAGAGTGGTCTAACAACTCTTAGAAACCTCTAAATCAAATCAGTTTTAGCTACCTTGTTTTAACTAAATCCCAGGCCTTTCAGAAAAAAAATTATTAAATTGTGTATATATATATCACCTGCAAATGTTACTTCTACTAGAATGCTGCATAGTCTTTTGGGAGAGCAGAAAATCATTATCCAAGTCAGGAATCACATCATCAAGCATGATCTTGGTTTTGCATTTAAATTAATGGAAGTTGTGTTCTTTTTTTCACTAAAGAATAGAATAAAAAGAACAAAATTATCTTTGCCTTATTCCATTAAAACCAGTGGATGGATCCACTTGCAGTGTTTTGGCATCCCCAAAGGTACCTGGCTGAATACTTCACCCATGGAAGCTACATATTGAAATAGCACACTAATGAAAATTACATCCTCCAGCTATTTATTCATTCTCTGTTAGCAAGGGCATCCTGTTCTCCTTGGTCTCACATCATTAGAAACAAGTGCAACCCTTGGTCATTAGGTTATAATATAAAATGCTCATCTCCCATTAAAAATCCACAAGGTTTAAGTCAGAAAAGCCAGAATTTTTCTAAAACCTGGTAGTCTTTGTGAGACTTAAAACCTGAATAAAGATTAACTACATTTTCCTGAAGCAGCAGAGAATACACTGATCATCCCTGACCTCTCTCTTAGGTTGAGAGATACTTTAACAATTAAGGACAAACAAAAGTATACTTTTTTCAACCCTGAAAAGATATGAAACATTCCCAGCCTTTTAGAGAATTCCCTGGATATTTCTGAGGATGCACACAGCTTTCACTAAAGGGGGAAAATACAGATTGGAAACAGATGGTTGTTCTCTCTTTTTTTTTTTTTTTTTAATAAATTGATTGCTATCACAAATCCTACAATTTGGAATCATCAGGCTAAAAATCCTATTCTCAATTACACCACTTCTACATCCTTATTTTTTCTCACATCACAGTTTCATGAGCTCTGCAGCCACTGCACAGTTTTCTAAGGAAAAGGACAGACAGCCTGACAGCTGTAGAGGGCTTACACTGAAAGCATTGAAAGAATCCTTCTTTAATCTGATTTTGGTGGAAATTAAGCTTTAGTCTTGTTCTGCTTGCACTGAAATTAACAGGGTTGGTCTTGAGGATGACTGAAACATCCCTGGAGGCTTAAGGAAAAGGAAAAGAATTATCTGTCTATGAGAGTGTTATCACAATACAATTTGCTGAGATTCCATCCAACCCCTAAATAAAGGGGATTTCAAGCAAGCCCTGGAGTATTTTCAGCCACTGAAAATCAACCCACATGGTAGGATGAGGTTAAGACCAGAACCAGAGTATCCAGCTTACCACAGGCTCTACTGCAATTATGAGATTGTTTCCAGAAAGTCCCTTTTAACACTAAGTTACTTTAGAAATACTAATAATGTTTTAATTTCTTTTCAGATATCAAAATTCAGAGAATTCACTAACCTTTTGGAGTAAGTGAATAACATTCTTCCACTGCTGCCCTTCTTTCCCTTTCTTAAATAAGCATATAGGTTAAGGAAACTCAAAAGAACCTGATAGATTATGTCACCATCTACAGTTTCAGTGACACAGCCCAAGGTGTTTAGGGTGAAAACAGACTAAGACCCTGGAACTCATTAGAAACCACAAATTTAAAATTAAAGAACAAATATTGTGTTACATTCTCAGCTAAGTGCACACATGGAGATTAGAGAGGACTAATAGAGCATGACTGGCCCCTTTTGCAAACATGGGACTTTAAAGATAAATACACTGCCTGCCTAATGGCAAAAGGCAGGCAGATGTGATGAAAGAGGTAAAGCTTGTATTGAAAGCTTTTTTTTTTTTACCCAATGTTTAAACTGGATATCCATCTGTGATCACTAAGCACTGGAAATGAATGTTTTGGACTGTTGTAGTAAGAGAGGATTTAAAAGAATCTGACACCGATTTGAAAATTCTGAAATTATTTAATAAATTGACTGCTACTATTCTCCTATAGTGGGACACAAATCAGAATCTTTTGATGGAAGCCATCAGTTCTTGCCCCAAATTTGAGTCCTATGAGGGACCCAGTGCCTGCAGTCATTAATGTGAAGGGAGTTTTGCCTTGACCAGGTGATAAAATCTTAAGACTGTGAGTATCTAAGAAAAATTTGTGCAGTCATTTCAGTGGGTAAAGTTCCTTCAAATCTCCTAAAATGGTATCCATTTAAAAATAACATGGGAAGCAGTATTTGTTTCCATCTGTGCAAGTAAAGCAATCCATTCAACATGGAGATGACAGGATTTGTTGGGCAGGCTGGGGAAGGATGACTTTCAGGAAGATTTGCAGGGTATCCTTGTGTTCCTTTGGACAAGAAGATTTGGGAAGAGACTTAGATGGAGAGATGAAAAGGGACTCTTGGGAGACAGATCTTCCAGTTCCCTCATAATGAGACAACTGAGCCTGCCCTCTTTCTAAAATGCAATTGTACACCTGCAGCCTGAGGCTCATAGAAAGAGTCTGATAACATTTTTACAACAAGGAACAATTGCAGAGTACTTCCAGACAGCCTGATAAAAGCTTTTACCTCACATATTACACTTTAATTGGAGGAGGATATAAAATATGGAAGGATGTGGGAATGAGGCCAGGAGATAACATCAGCAAGGAAATAAGGTCCAGCAGAACTGCTGTTGTCCTGATCGATTTTCTAACTCAGTCTGTCCCTCAGACACTTCCATCTCCACTATGTGCCACGATGGTAAACACTGCAGCAATTGCAGCAATGCCATAAAGAAAGGCAGCATCAGCTGCCTTTAACCCAATGGAAACACCAAAGAAGTAGGCAGCAAGTAACTAACCAGGCCAAGGAAGTTCTTAGGATCACTGGGAAGTTTTTCCACTTCCAAGTTGTACCAACAGGTTTGAAATTTTACTGGAGTTTTATTTCCACTGTGGCTGCTGCTCCACAATCTGGAAGAACTTCTGTGCTTCAGTCTATGGAACCCTTGGCTTAATATTTCCCTGTTTCACAGAGTAAGTATAAACATTAACCACCATAAAATATATTAAAACTGCCTTTAAGAAAGAGTATCTGAATAATTATAATGTGATAGTCATTTCGTTGTACAATAGATTTGATGCTGGGCTTCCAAAATTATTTCAAAGGTATTACTTTTCCTTTCACATAGTATTTCATTGCTGCTCCTGCAATAACATAATCTTCAGAGTATTAGTTGCAGTATAATGTGGCAGTCTTGGTTTTTCTTCCTCCACAAGGTTTTCTGTTCCCTTTGCTTCCAACTGTCATTCCCCTGCTTCCCCTCCACTGACCCATGGCAAGAGCTGATCAGGTCAACTACATAACTTTTCATCCAAATTGGATATATTCAGTAAAATAACGAGTTAAGATACAAAAGTGAGTGTCTATATAAAGTCAATCTTTTGAAATGAAACTGAAGCTATGTAACAAAATGTTATCCTGATCTGAGATACTGAGGATACATCATTTCTTTTGAAAGAGCTTGCATTATGATTGATTTCCATTCATGTGCAGCAGGGGAGAAGCCTGTGTTTTCAGTTTCTAGACAAACAGCTGTGCAGAGGCAAGAAAATGACAAACAATGCTCTTTCAAATATTTTCACCCAGCCTTATTTTTATGATTACTTTAGGATGTGAGAAAAATACTTGCAATGCTGCCTTAAACATATATGAATTAACAAAGAATAAAGATCAGTGGTTGATAAAGTACAAAGGGTGACAGAAGCAGAATGAAACAACTTTTAATCTGCTTTTATGTTCGACTAGGTTTATGTAGGTCAATGCAAACCTTGCAAATTCCCCACTGGCACATCGTTTGTAGAAACCTCCCTTTAAAATTTCATCAAAGAAAGGAAAAGTTGGGATGATGTCCCTTTCTGTAACAAAGTCACTGCTTGCCACAGAATATTTACACATCTTGCTCATAATACTGCTTCTGAAGAGAAAGTGTTTCATCTCTGAGATAGCCAAAATGTTTCCTGATGGCCAGGGTCCAGAACAACACAGGATGGAGCAGAGCTTACAATCATATCCTCCCATTCTTGTAACATTCAAATTGCCTCAGCAAGTTTTTCAGGAATAAGATAATGCTAGGGTCCAACAGGGACACCAACAATACTTACTACTAAATGCTGCTCTTTTTTTTCAGTGTGAGAAACAAAAACACATCCAGTCTATAACTCATTGTTCCAATGAGCACAGGGATATATTTTGGGTGTTTTGTTTTCAGTTTCCAAAACTGTCAATATTGTCAGTGCTGGTCTACAGATGTGCACAAACATGCACGTTCCATTTCAGCACAATGGCATGAAACAGTGGACAAAAGGGTGCTTCACACTGGAGAGAATTTAGAAAGGCTGGGGAAATGGTTTCCAGACCAAAATACTCTTGTTACCCTCTGACCCAAAGATTCAGTCTTCAGTGCATTCCCCATGCACAGCAGGGGAAAATGACTCGGACAGGGAGGGGACTGGGGAGTGAGAGCCACTTCTCAAACAGCTCTGTGGGGCAGAAGAATGAAAGGCCATGAATCCTGGTTTAAATCCTCTATTTTCTCCTTTTACTGAGGGTGCACGTTTAAAAACCTAAAGGGAAAGGCAGTGTACAATTCATGACAGCACAAGGCAATAGCAGTTTTCATCCATGCTGAAGAATAGAACTGCACCTTTCACAACACACACAGGAAAGGGAAAAGTGCACCCTGAACTTTAATCTCTTAAAGATACATCAGATTCTACCTCATCTTTACCCACAAAGCAGTTAATAAGCTTATAATTTAACTCTGATTTTCAATCCAGCCCAAAACAGGGGATAGCTCTTCACAGAGCAGAAGAGAGTTGAGAAATTGCAGCAGGCAGTACCAAGGAAAGACAGGCACCAATGTGCACCATGTACCACAGGATTTCATTGCTTTTTTTCTTGTTATGAAAAAACAGTGATAATTTCTCTTTACTTCCAGCATGCCACCTTCATGGGAATAGACCTGCATGTCACACTTAGCACACAGATGTACAATGGATTTATGCTGCAATGGAACAATTCCTTTCATTACATTCTATTATTTTCCCAACTATTCCATTATTCCTAGCACTTGCTATTTTCATCTCCACTAAGCATTGCACTAATGATACCACAGAACCTTCTTATTACACATCCACAATCTGAGTAAAAAGAGAAATAGATTTAAAAAGCCAAGGCTGCCTTTCCTTCAAAGCAAGTCAGTTTACATTACTGACATATCATTTACTGCTTCACCACCCAGCTACTGAGAATCATGAGTTACTCTGCAAATATCTCAAGCAAAATGGTTTTTTTTCCATGTTGTTCCTCTAGGTAATTCCTCAATTCTAAATCATCAGTAAACTTTCTCACATCATTTTGTACCCCTATTTGGGAATTTTATGATATCATTGAAGCACAGAGGCCAGGTATAAATTCCTAGGAAATACCACTGCTGAATCTCCCTGTCATTATTCCAAGGTTTATAAAAAATAATAGTAAATGAACTTCCCCAAACCCCTAAACATCACAAGAATAAGCCCCCTGTGCTGACTGCCCCTTTTTGCCCATCAATAACTGGCTGATAATCATGTGCATATAGATATGACAAGAAAGAAGCTGGTATAATTTTGAAAGACAGACATTTTTAAAAATTACCACCACAATCTCGTAAATATCTGCTATATTATATCTAAATATTTCAAGAATTCAGATGCTACTTATCTGCTCTGTGATGAGAGGAGCATTTATAAACTGCAGATAAGTTGAACAAAAAAATAATAAAATATGGATTTCAATGAGAAATCTAATGAAAACTGCATCAGGAATCAAGTGCTACATTCTCCTTTAATGAAACCCTCATATTATTTCTTGTTGCATGTGAGATTTGTGTGATATACATGCACTGTATGTCTGTTACCACAAGCCTTTTTGTTCTACTTCTAAAAAATATTGCCATTACTGGAAATGAGAAGCCAAAAAATTGCTGTGACACACTTCCTGCTGCAACCACAGCAGAACCCTACCCTTTACTTCCTGGTTTTCTTGCTATTTGTTATTATCTCATTTTCAATGCACCCTCTCTTCAGTTAAAAGTACCAAAACTGATCATAACTTTGATGTCTTGTCTCCTTACACATGGTATCATTCCTCTTCTGCCTTCTTTTTGTGGCTTTTCCATGTGGCTTCAAGTCTGAAATTATCCTCATGTCCTGTACCAGTATTAATACTTTCCTATGCCTTTGGAACAGTTCTCCCTCAACTTTATTCTTTATTTCTAAATATATTATGTGTCCCACCTCAGTTCTAACTCTTAAGTGTTTTGGAGGGAACATCATGCCTGTTTCTCTGAACACATTTCCATCTGTGTTTTTAAAGCAAAATTTTCAGGCATGATTTGCTCTGGCAAAGGCAGGTTTGGCCACCAGCAGTCACCTCCTTATTTTCCATGTGCCTTAGCATAGGTGAAGAATTACCATTGTCAGAGGGGTCATTGACACAGCCCCAGACAGTTGGGGATGCACTACCCAGAGGTTTTCCACCCTTCAGTGAAAGGAGTTTGCAGCCTGACATGAAATAACCACATAAGTATTTGGAGAGAGAAAAATAAGTAGCACAACTAACCAGGTTATGGTACTTACCAGCTTGTGATTGAGAAAGGGTCAAAACAACAACCCTGAAACAGTCAAAGCTAGGAAGGAACTCTCCACTCCAAACATCAGCCTTGACAACAGCATGGGGCCTATGAGAAGAAAACAGAAATAACCAACTTTCAGCTGTTGTCTATTTGTTTCTATAGCTACAAAATCATAGAATAAAAAAAAAACCCTTGCCTATTCTTTCAAATCCAAATTGACCTCCTCCAATATCTCTTGTCCTAATGACTACTCACACATGTAAAAGTCCCTCTCCAGCTTTCCTGTAGACCCTTTAGCTACTGGAAGGTGCTCCAAGATGTCTGTGGAGCCTTCCCTTCTCCAAGCTGAACAATCCCAGGCATTTTAGAGGGGACAGCTAGCTGAAAACCAACTCACAGCTGTCCAGACATGCTGCACTGCCCATGAACACATGTGCACCACACCAGCCCTTTGCATACCTGCATGGCAGTGGCCATGTGTGCTTGTTGAAAATGACATAAATTTTCGAATTCATTTTTAATTAATTGTTTTAATGAGTCATAATCACTATATTAATTATGAGCAGTGTGGTAGTCTTAAAACACTTTTAGCCAGCACATGACCCTGATACACTTCACTGAACAAGGCCTGGGAGACAGCGAAGGATTGATGAAATCCAATCACAGAATCACAAAATAAGCTGAGTTGGAAGAGACCTAAAGGATCATGGAGTCCAGCTCCTGGCCCTGCACAGCACCATTCCCAGGAGTCACACTGTGTGCCTGAGAACATTGTCCAAATGCTTCTTGAACTCTGCCAGGCTCAGTGCTGTGACCAGAAGAACAGAATTGATAGAATAGACAGATGTTTTGTAGAAATCAGAGCATAAAGAAAAAGTTAACAAAGACAATATATATGGATTGGAAAGTCTCTAACAGAGGAAAATGATACTAAAAATATGGACTACTTAGCATGAACAGTGAGAAATCAATACCCAGTAGAGGACAGAATAGTAAAGAAGGATTTGTCCTGCTGAGCACAAGGCACATTGCACAGGAGTCCATTCTGTCCATGCCTCACCCACGTGGATATGGTGAGGGGCTGTGTCACAGCCTAAAGTCACAGTAAATGGCTGTCACTGCTCTTCCCTTGGCCCACGGGGACACTCTCCTCCTCCAGGCAAGGCTCATGTTGGTGCCACCACAACTTGTCCTCGCAGAGGATGTCACCTTGTCCTTCTCGTGCCTCCAAGCCACCCCCTGGCAGTTGTCTGAGAATGGCAGGCTGTCCCTGGACACTTGTGGGAAGGCTCCCGTGCTCAGGTGCTGCCTCTGGTTCATCCTACAAAACAGGAACGGCTGAACAGAAAGCCACAAAAGCAGAGAGAAGTTTTGTTCTTCACACGAGCAGAAAGTGGGGGCACACTTGGCATGTTGGTACCACAGCCTTGCTGAGGGGAGCCCACAGGATGAGGAGGCTCCTGAGGGGAGCTGGGGACACTCCCTGTGCCCAAGGGACAGCCATCCTTGCAAGCAGCACGAGGGCGAGCCCCAGAGAGGGACCCTCAGCCCCCATCTCCCACATCTGGGCACAAGTCAGAAAAGAATGCTAAGTCACCACAAAACTCTGTTTCTAAAGTGAACTGTAGTGTAGGAAAAAGATTTTCTAATCTGGAGCAGTATCTCTGTGAGAGAAAGCTCCAAGTAGAGTCAGCCCTATTACTTCAACAGCTTTGTAACCACAGATGTCACCATAGACACTTCACATCCTCATTTTATTTTCACCTGCAAAACCCAGAAGCTACAGCTTCAACCACCACTTTGCCCTTATAATAATTAACTCTCAGCCCTGTGGCAGTTTTGACTTTCTAGGCTGAGCAAATCCCTCAATAATTTTTCTCTGATTTGTAGAAACTATTGCAATAGTTTCTTTTAAAAAAACCCCAAACCTTAACTTGGACATACTTATCTTATAAATTACAATAGCAGAAATACAACACACAGTGATAAAAGTCTTTCAATGGTTTGTACATGTCAGTACATCTCTTTAAATAGGAGTACAGGCTTACAGTGTTGAGACATTGTAAGAGGCTACAACTACAATCTATGCCTATTCCAGAAATAAGCGTAAATTCCTATTTTATAGGAAGTGCAGTAGATTTGGTGTAACAGCTAGGATTTACCTAGCCACTAAAAAGAACTTTCCTGAATATTTTCCGAGCCCTTTTAATACTGAATAAATGCCTAAAGCACGCAGAAAATAACAACCAAAAAACTCACCAGGTACCACACTTTGAAACCAGGTGGGAATGGAAATCCACAAATCAAACCCCAAGCATTAACAAATGCGAAGACCCAATTTGATTTCCTAAACTGCTAAATCTGCATAGGGGTCAAGACTTTCTTCCTCTAAGGCAAAGGGAAAACCAGGTCTGAACACAGCTACGGCTCAAATGAGTGAAAAGAATTAGGAAAAAAAAAAAGAGCAGTCCTGAAAAACGATGGCTGGGAATGCATTTTCAAATTCGCTCACGGCCGGACACGGGGCAGCGCCCGGCGCAGCACAGAGCTTTGCACAGGACAGCGCTGGGGACACGGAGCGAGCCGTCACTCGAGGTACCGGGGTACCGAGCTGTGAACTGCGAGCCCACAGAGCAGAACAGCCCCGGCGGCCGCGCCACTGCCGCCCTCACGGCCTCATCCCGGTGCCATCCTCACGCTGCGTCTCCCCGCCGCCCTCACGGCCCGCGTCCCGCCCTCACGGCCGCGTCCAGTCTTCACGGCCCCTGTACCCCGCCCTCACGGCCCGCGTCCCGCCCTCACGGCCCCTGTACCCCGCCCTCACGGCCCGCGTCCCGCCCTCACGGCCCCTNCCCTCACGGCCCCTGTACCCCGCCCTCACGGCCCGCGTCCCGCCCTCACGGCCCCTGTACCCCGCCCTCACGGCCCGCGTCCCGCCCTCACGGCCGCGTCCCGCCCTCACGGCCCTGCCCCGCCCACACCACCGTGCCCCGCCCTCCGCCCGCCGGTGACGCCATTGGCGCGCGCGAGCCCCGCCCCGCAGGCCCGCCACGTTCCCCGCTCGGCGGCGCGCACGTCACGGAGGGGCGGGGCCCGCGCTGCCCAATCGGAGCGCTCCGCGACGCCCGCCGCGGGTCGGCGCCGGCCAATGGGAGCGCGCCGGGAGGCGGGCGCTGTGCCCATGGCAACGGGCGCGGGGCTGTCGCACCGAGCCGCGCCGAGCCCAGCCGGAGCCGCAGCCGCAGCGCCGCCGCAGCGCGCCCGCCGGAGCCTCGCTTCGGACCCGCCATCAGCGCGCACCTCACCCTTGAGAAGCAGCGGCTCCTCTCCTGCCGCAGCGGGACCCAAAGGTAGCGCTGCCCATCCCGGTCCCCCGGCTGCGGCGCGGGGCGGAGGCCTGGCGGCGCTGTCAGGGTCGCGGCGGGACGCGGGGGTCTCGGAGCGCTGGGACGCGGGGAGTGGCGGTGGAACCGCGGGGCTCGGGGCGCAGCTGAAGTTTTCCCGGAGCGCCCTGGATCCCGCGGGGGAGGTGGCTCCAGGTGTGGGAGGGGGTGTCCGTGTGTCCGTGTGTCCGTGTGTCCGTGTCCCCTCCGTTCGCCCCTCCCGGCCCGTGGCTGTGCGGGATGTGACGGGGAGCTGGGGAGCGCCAGCAGAAATGAAGGCAGAGCTGGCAGCGGCGGCAGCTGCAGAAATGTTGAGTGGCTCGTAATTGCACGATCGCAGGGAAAACTTGGGCAGGAGACTCTGGGTTTCACTAGAAAGGGCACAGCTCTTCAGCATTACTGCCGTGGATCAAAGAACGGTCTGGGTTGGAAGGGACTTTAAAGATCATCTCGTTCCAGCCCCGTGCCATGAGCAGGGACACCTTCTGCTAGGGCAGGCTGCTCAGAGCCCATCCAGCCTGGCCTGGGACACTGCCAGGGATGGGGCATGCACGGCTCCTCCGGGTAACATCTTCCACTGCCTCGCCTCCCTCGCAGTAAAGAATTTTTTCCTAATATCTAATCTAAACCTACTCACTTTTCGTTTGAATTACACCTTGTCGTGTCACTACGCACTCTTTTAAAATAGTCTCTCTTCGTCTTTCCTGGAGGCTGCCTTCAGGTAGTGAAAAGCTGCAATTAGGTCACCCTGAAACCTTCTCTGTTCCGAGCTGAACAATGCCAGCTCTCTCAGGCTTTCCTTGTAGGAGAGGTGTCCTGTCCTATCCTATCCTGTCCAGCTCCATCCCTCTGGTCCCCTTGGTGCCTCCTCTGGACTGAGTGCAGCAGTCACTGTCCCCCCTGTGCTGGTGTCCCCAGAGCTGGCCCAGTCTGTCTTGCTGTGCTCCTACTCCAGTGCCAGGCTGGCTGCTGCACTCAGAGATAATTCCACAAGTGGAGAAGGTCGAGATACGGCTGTAGAGAGGTAATGTTTTTTTGCTGAAATGAACGTGGCTAAGGCTTTCAAAAGAGTTTGTATTTGGCAACACTATTTAGTAAGCCTGTAGGAGAAAAAAGCCTTCATTGTTTGACTTACAAGTATTTGCTATGGAAAGATAACATCCAGTATTTTCAACATGAGAGCATCACAGTATCAGCAGTGAAGTGTCTGTGCACCCAAGGTATCAAGTTCAGTATGGAGGTGTGTTTTTTGGGGGTTTTTTTTGGTCATTTTGTTTTCTCTCAATGTCAAGAAAAGTCCTATAGCTGACTCAGTATTGGTGCACTTGTACTCTGAATTCTGAAGGGACTGTCCCTCTCGACCAGATAGAGCAGCACAGGGACGATTCCTGCTGTAGAGACTGGATAGGAGCCACTCAGAGACTTTGAAACCAGGTTTTGTTGTAACCCTTATGGACCTCTCCTTAAAACTCGCAGAAAGTTTATGGGAGAAGCCCACATTTCTGTGAGCACTTAAGATCCTGTTATGTTTCTTACTGTCATTTACTGCATAATGATCTTGTACAGTTACATTAGAAAAAACCCATAGGTTTAAACAAATTGTTGATGTAGAGCAATGTGAATCTCAATCACTTCTAACCAAGACACTTAACATAAACAAAGAAAAGGGGCAAATAAAATTATAAATTAATATTGCCTGTTGGGTGTGCTTAAAACTTACATTAGCAATTGGATGCAAAGGTATGTGATGTAAGTTTATTATAACACTGCCTGACGTACTGTTAATTTGGTGTCTGAAATTATATTCAGAAAACCCCACTGGGCAAATAAAAGCGGCAACAACAACAATAATTATTTTTTTTTAATAATACTAAGGCAAGGTTTTAATACCTTGGCTGTGCAATACTGGTAGTGCTGCTGGCAAAAACTTTCTGTTCATAAAACCCAAATCAAAGATTTTCTGTCAAAAACTGCCCTCCCCTCCATTATGCATACCTAACTGAAATTGCAGTCGTGAAAGTGGAGAGCAGTAGTTCACTGAGGTAATAAAAAATGTAAAATATATTGACTTAAATGTCAGAGGTGTGGAAATACTGACGCAGTAGTTTTAGAGCTGTGCTGACTAAACAAATGTGCTTTACATAAGAAAGATAAAATCATTTACTCTGAGGTCTGAAGCCACTATCAGGGCTTCCTATGACTTGAACTGCTGTGTGCAGGTGTCTGATGTCGTGAGGTGTTGTGCTCTCAGGGCTCAGGAAGCTGAAAAGATTTCTCTGAAGTTCTGTCAGAGACAGAGCAGACACGAGCCCTTGGGACAGGGCCGTGCTTTTATGTAGATAAAGTCATGACCAGCTGCTAATGCCAAACCAAATGAAATCAGTCAAAAATCACGTTACTTTCAATAGTTTTTGCTCTTCTATATGTGTGTAATTTGACAGTTGGAAAGAGCAAAAGAAACTGCATTTCATTAGAATAATTTTAATCATACTGTTATAAATATTATTCTTCATCATAGGTAATTCAAGAGAAGTGTAAACACTTTTCATGATTGCATTTCTCCTGCTAGTCTTCCTGAAACTGGAATGGGATGTTGATGCATGTTTTTGTTTCTGAGCAAGTAGAAATCAATGGGAATTAGCAAACTGTGAATATAAATCTCCTCAGGCAGCTGTCATTAAGTGCCTAAATATTTTTAAATCTGACTGCACATCCTTAGATCTAGATGCATTCTGGATAACGATTTTGTGGGGTTTTTTGGAGGGGGAAAAAGGTACCTTGGACTCCTGGGGCAGTCAAGGTTTGCTTTAGCATCATCACTTGTTGACTGCAGCAAAATACATATTGTTAGAATAATTGAAATACTTTTTGATTTGAGTTTGAGCTAATTCATGTAGTAGCACTTTGAGGTTGCTTTTTACGTCAGCACTGACAAAACTGCCGTTTACATTTATGAAAAATGAATTTATGAGACTCCAAGTGTACTGTTGTATTATGTTCTGTGTGGGAAATTAGAGTGCAGGAAGCTATAGTTGTAACAGTAGTTTGTTTTTTTTTCAATTCCTTTTAAAGTTGATAAGATTTTTATGAACTATACATTAAGTTCAGTATAAGTTTTTGCTTGACTATTGGCTTAATAAATATTTTTCTGAGGCAACCTTGTTGGAAAGAATTAATAAAACCAAGCAAATTGCTTTGAAAAACAAGGCTAATATTTCAACATTGTTCAGTTAGTAAGCTTTGTACAGAGAGATATTTATTGTTTTCAAGCTTGGAGACAGGTAATATTATAAATATGTATTTGTGTGTGTGGAGACAGGTTTTTAAATGGTGAACTATTAACACTGCACTAAGAAAAAAAAGTTTTGAGACTTCACTTAGGACAGAGCTAAGCACATGTAGCATCAGCCATACAATTTGCTTCTATGCCATCTTTCTTTCTGAACACAGTTGTGTTGTTTCATGATATTTTTCTTTATTGTTTGTGGTTTGAACATAAAATTGCTCTTTCCCACTTGAGCAATCATCATTTGTGTTACTATTGGATGACTCATTTAATAAAACAGTTGAAGTGCATTTTTTAAAAGGAGGTTCTTTCAGCAAATGTTGTACTAGGCACAGTCGAACCATGCTGTGTTTTCTGGGAAGCTGAAAAAAAGCAGATATTCCATCAGCCAGCTTCTAGTTATAATGAGAATTAAACAGCTCGAGTGCAGTGGAAATGTAACAAATCCAACTCAGGAGAATTTAAGTTAAGAAAAAAGACTAAAATGCTTCTTGAAAAATAAGGAAGGTCTCTTGGTGCAGAGAACTGAGTGGGATGTGCTCTAACAAAACATTAGAACAGCATGAGCAAGGTGAAACCTGTTGGATATTGGCCAGGAAAAATAAAGCAACATCTGAATCATGGGGTTAGTGAACAGCATTCACTGAAGAGTAAAGAAGAATACATGAAGGATAATGAAACTTTATATATATATATATAATTATATAGCAATAATAGCTGGCTTATAATACTTAATAGCTTGCACATTAACTTCTAAAAGGATTGGTTTTCATTTGGGAAGGGTGCAGGTTTTTGTGTTTTGAACATTAAGTGTTGCAGCTTGTAGCCATTTCCCCTTGCATTTCATTTCCTGCTGGTGTCTGCAAGGAGCAAAGCCAGTGGAGGGGATTGGTGACCAAGTGAACACACAGCACAGGCACAGCTCTGCAGCTGAACAGACTGAGTGCAGACAGGTTTTTCCACTTGCTTCTCAAATTTGCTGCCACATGTCAGCTGTGCTTATGCCAGATGAACTCATTGCACAAACAGTGTGAAGAAGATGCATTAACTCTCGGTTCATGGACTTTCAAACCTTGCTTAAGGTGTGATAGCTCAGGGTGTCTGTGCAGCAAGTGCTGCTGAAAAATCTGGGGGGAACTAAAACTGGGGTTTGCAAACAGAATGTGGCAGAAGAATAATCTGTTTCTGCCTAATTTCAAACAGTTCATGTAGTTTTTTTTTAGGCTGCTGTTAGCGGATCAATTTATAAATTTGCAAATAAATTTTAAGGACATGGAAAAATCGCATGGAATGAAACATTTCCTGTTTAAACTGTAATGCATGGACAGGTATATTGCTGTTTCAGAGAGGTGAAAACAGATTGAAGATGCTGGGTGACTGGAGCAGACTGATGAGGGAATACTTTACATCTCATTCTAGTACTGAGGGTGGAACATTCTTAGAAAAATAAAAATCACTAGATATATTTTATCTGTTTCCTGGCTTTTTTTTTTTTGTTTTAATTCAGCACTGCCTGTGAAGATTGTTCATTTCTCCAGTGTGCAGCATAAAAATAGGAAGTCACATTACAGTCGTGAGTGTAGAGAACATTACTGTTATCCTGCACATCTGCACTGTGTCTCTCACAGGTTTAATCACTTCCATATCAGATAGAGCAGGCATATGTGAAATTTGTGAATAGGTGGGTTTATTTGTATATTGTTTTCATTGCCCATCATGGTACACTTGAGTTTGGCAGGTGCAAATGTGTGATGTGACATTCACACTGTTATTCTGTCTTGCATCATAACCATCCTCTGAGCTTCTACATGTGCAGACACTGCATCCTGGTATCACTCTATGGTTTGGCCTATCTCAGCTTTAGAAACTTTGATATGGGGTGTTATTTCTTTAAAAATACTTGTGCTTTGCTGGGAATGTGATGGAGATGTCAGTACCTGCATGATGCTGTTTCCTGGGCAATGGGTGCTCTGTTAATGAAAAGTAATTTTTGGGTTTGTATTATAAAACCTGGCAGCTGTATAAAATAGGTGTTTAGCAGCTCGTGTTACTGTTGCTAGAACAAATTTTAGAAGTACTATTTTGAAGTTACTTCTCAAAGCTCTTTATAATTGAGATGTTCAATCCTGTTTCACTGTTGATAAGAATTTGTGATTAACAGATAATCAAGATTGCTGGCAGGCAGCCTGCAGCTTTTCTTTTCCAGTTGCATTTTTCTATTGATGCAAGTACATTGGTGGCTCTGTTTTCTGCTCTCATTCTTTTGCCTCTCACTTTGTTTTTTGAAATACTTGGAGAAGTTATTTTTCCTTTTCCCTGAAACCTTGGGATATTGGCTTTGTTTATAAACGACAGTATTTGTCAGTGCTAGAACACTGCTTTTATGATTAGTTCTCTTTATGTCCTACAAGTGGGAATGTTTCTTTATCCCTCTTGTCAAGATAAGATTGATTTCTGATACCAGCAGATTACAGGTGTGCTACCTTTACATCTAGGTGGGCTACTTGTCTTTGACTAAAATGACTTAATTTCCAGATGACAATTATAACATAGTCAGCTGGGCAGATCCATAACAGTTTCTATTTCCATTAAAGCTTATAGAAGTAGGAAGAATAGGAATAACAATAAAAAGAATAACAATAAGCCCCGTGGCAGAGCAGGAGGGTGCTGCACCCTCAGTGAGTGCTCACTTGGTGGCTCTAGGACAGAAAAAGGCACATTGCTGGCTCAGACACGTGGATGCACTCTGAATGCCTGGGAAGGGACAGGCATCCAGGAATGGGTTTTCAAAAGGCCAGAATTCCTACAGGCAGCTGGGAGTGGGCTGGGAGTGGAATGAACTCACTTGGTAGAAGAAAAAACATACAAAACCTTTTAAAAATGTTTTGCAAAATGCTGAGAGTGTATATCTGTAATTATTACATACTTGGTAAGTATTTGGGGGTTTATTAGTTTTGTTTCACATGCATGCTTGCATCCTTTCACTTAGAAATTACTAGACAGCCCCATTCAAACTCTGCAAGAACTTCAGCAAGGTGGGTTTTTGTTTTAGCTGTAGTGCTGAGAACTACTCTGAGTCTTGGCATCTACATCAAGATTAGGAGACTTGAAGACCTAGTATTTGTTAGTTATTATCATCATCTCCTGTGATTAAATCCTGTAGAAATTACAAACCTATGCACAGCATTTATACAACAATATTCTCTAATTAAAACCACCCAACATACTGGAACTTTGGCACTTTTAAAAGCTGTAATGAATAACTAAACCCTTTTCACTCATCAGCTTTGTAAGTCCCTGCAAGCCAACAGTTCATGTAGAGGTATAGAAATTAACTGAGCAAATCAGCCTGGCTCTGGTTTCTTTGTGGGTTTGTTTTAAGGGCAGAACCTAAGCAAGGCTGGTCAGATTTGTCACTCTGACAGTAGTGCTGACCTGCCATTTCAAATGCTCAGTGTGGCAGCAACAACAGCTCCTGCTGTCCCATCTAGTGATGATCAGATATTAATTGTTTTTGAAAATGCAAGTAACAGGTATTTGCAGAACATAATCCATTTAGGCTCCTTTGGCTAAAGATGGGATTAAGAAAAAACAGTTTTAGGAAATTCTTGTAATTCTTGAGCCTTTGACATATAAAACAATAGCTGATGGATACACTTTTATCTCCAGCTATTTCCTCATCCCCAACAAAAGAAATAATATCTCTACACATCTTGAATGCATCAGGGTGGGTTGGGTTTTTTTTTGTTGGTTTTTAGGTGCTGGTTTTTTTGTTGCTGTTTTTTTTTGTATAAGAGTGCTTTTATTTTCCCAGCAATTGAATGAGGGGGAATAAAAGGTGTCAACAATGCTTAATATTAAGTATGTACCACTATCAACATTTTCTGCCATAGTCAAGGGCAGCATAACCCAAGCAAAAGCAATGCATCTCTGTCAAGTACCAGATCATGTAGTCAGGAAAACTGGCACTGACATCATAATTGCTTTGTCCCTCTCACCCCTCTCCCTAAGAAGAGATTTGGTGCTGGTGGACATGAGCACTCCTGACAGAATTCCCTGCATGACTTGCCAAAGCACTTGTACAGAAATTCCTCTTGGAGCAGGTACACTTTGGATTTATTTGACTGCACATCTCTTCAGTATTATGTCTTTTTCTTTGACATATCTAAGCTAATTTTAGACACTCTTTGACTGGCAACTTTGACCTTCTAGGAGGTGATTTACATTACCAATAGTAATCCTGGAGTTTGCTCAAACTCCTTATAGATTACCCACAGACAGTGTGTCACAGTCTGAGCTGGCCAGATTGCCTCAAGGGCCTCACTTTGCTGTCAGATGCTGGATTATCATCATTACTTTTTTTACCTGAATTCCCTGTACTCACTCTTTCTAATTATTCCATCTTACCTGCTTCTGAATGAATTCTTTTCAACCAAGTTTGATAGGGGGAAGGAAAGAACTCAGAGTGCTCAGTGCTCATCCAATTACGTGTGAGTTAGCTCCACCTAAGACACTAAAGAAAGGGTGGGGAAAACCAGAATAAAGTCCTGACCTCAGCAACAATTTCAGGGAGTGTGAAAACCATTTTTCAGGAATCTCTGTCTACCTGAAATACGGATATAACATGAATTGTAAATATTCTCCCTGCAAGTAAATTCTGGAGGGGATCTTGACTCCAAGTTAGCCAAGTATTTCAGTGTTGAAACATAAAATCCACTGGCATTGCTATGCTAAGATCTGATTCAATGTCCCTCATGATTTTTAGGAGTTTGCCAATAAATTCAGCAGAGGCATGATCCAAGTAGGATTGTCAATATTAGTTATGTTAGAATTGAACATCCTAAATATGTGTTCCCATCTGTGACTGACAACACCTCAGCACGTTACAAACCTCTCACCATTTACACCTTAGGTTTGGCACACAAGTGGAAGCCAATCTAAGGAAACTTCCTAAGAATGGCAAAATTTAAAAATTTAAAATTTAGGGCTGCATTTACTTCCTTGAGTTTTCATATTCCTTGAGAGCAGGACATTGTGAGGAAAATGGGTTATTACAGGTATCTGTGTAGGAATGTAAAAAACTTTCCTCAGTGCAATATGCTAACATGCTGTATGTTAATTGTTGTGCTCATTTCAGATGAAGCAGTTATCTGTCCTGCCCCAGCAGTGTCTTTTGTTGGTGACATGTCTCCTCATGGCCTTGGAAGCTGTACCTATAGACATAGATAAGACAAAAGTCAAAGCAGAAGGCCATGTAGAAGGAGAGAAGGTGGAAAATCCAGTAAGTATAAAGTAACTAATCTGAAAAAGTGTTTATCCTAATTGTTAGTATCTGGATATAGCAAACTCTTTTAGAAGGACAGTTATATTTCCCAGTGTTGTCAGTGTGTGTGCCATCTACCACAGGGAGGTTCTGTTGAAATTTGCTCTTTATATTTTTTTTTCAGTGAGCTGCTAAAGGTGAGGTGGCACATGGATCCCAGCTTACAACAGGAAGAGCATCCTGTTCCACAGAGATTTACTTCCAGTGGTGCCTTAGGAAATTCCACTCACTGATTCCAGTTCAGTGTTTCAAACAGAGCAGTAACAAATGAACTGCAGTGTTTTAAAAAAGCCACACACTGTATTAATGTGACAGCTGCTTGTGTATTACAAGGATTCCTAATCACTTTTCTCCCCTTCCTTGTCAGCTGCTGAAACAAATGGATGATAAATTGCTATCAGGCAATGATGCAAATCTGAAAACACAAAGATGTGTAAGACAGCATAGTGCCTGTGTTACTAAGATTAGAGTGTCAGTTTAATAACTGTATTTAAACAAAACTAATTAACTAATTGTTTGTCAGTATAGTCTTTCCTCAATTTCCTTTTTTTTTTTGTTTTTTTTGTTTTTAAGGATACAGGACTTTATTATGATGAATATCTCAGGCAAGTAATAGATGTCTTGGAAACTGATAAGCATTTCAGGGAGAAACTCCAGACTGCTGACATAGAAGAAATAAAGGTAGGTTCAAAAAAAAAGAGTTAAATTGAGGTTAATTAAATCCATAATCAGGAGCCATACATGTTGTATTCTTTTTTCCTTTAGTTCCTGGCTCTAGGTGGTGCCTTCAGGAGCTAGAAATTTAGGAAAGGACAAGTAGGAAACAGTGTGAAGGGACAGGCTTGAGGAGGAGTTCCTGCATTTTGTGTTTCCTGTTTTCAGATTTGATTTTCTGAAAGCTTTTAGGATCTCTCTCTGTTTCCACAACCATAAGCATAAAAAATTTGAGTCTACTCTTCAAAAAATGCTGAGATTCTTACAGTGTGGGCCAACAGTATTGCCAGAGACTGCCATGAGTCTGCTTTTGTCTAATGGGAATCCTAAAGGATTCTTTCTCCCAGTGTTTGTGCATGACTTTTCTGGTTTTTTGACAGAGTGGAAAGCTAAGCAGAGAGCTTGATTTAGTAAGCCACCATGTGAGAACACGGCTGGATGAACTGAAAAGACAAGAGGTAGCAAGATTAAGAATGTTAATTAAAGCTAAAATGGATTCTGTTCAAGGTAAGAATATATCATTTATTTATGTGAGTTAATGGATGGGATTGTGTTAGAGAAATGTCAAAGTCCAGCAGTTGTGCATTGTTTGTTGTCACCAGTAATGACTAAACTGAGAGTGAGTGTCCCTTCTGGGCTGGCCTGGAGCCATTCAAGACCTGGGTTTGTAGGAAACTGGGGTGAAGAGAAAAGCCATCTCCATTTAATAATTAACTGAACTTGTTTCTGTCAGGGGATTTTTCAGATACTTCTACCTCTTATTTGCAGCCTCTTATTTTTGTACTGCATCAATTCACAGATTACTCAGAGAACCAATTACACAGTAAGACTGTGTAACAAAAATACATGACAGTATTTCATATCCTTAGGGAGTAGAAAATGAATTTTTTATCAGTATTTTATTATTTTAAAGATGTTTGCAAGTTTTTGAGGGGAATTCCAAGTCATTAATACAAAATGCATCAAATGAAATACTCCTTGAATCAGGATCTGTCTTGCAAGGTTAAGCTAATTTAAATGTGGCAAATAGACTGAAGAAGTGTGCACATGCAAATAAATATTTGTGGGGATGTTGTTCTTGTTGCAGACAGGTAGTCCAGGGACATTCACAGCTAATGGTACCTGGGTGTGTCCATAGTTGTTTTAGGTATTTTGAAGTTTAATGGACTGATTACTTTTACCCCTCTGTGCTTTCATAAATCAGCAGTAATTAGCAGAGTGTGCTTTAGGAAAATAATTCCCCCCAACACCTCAGATCTTACCCTGTAAATGTGAGATCTTGAATTTGGGAACAGATTATTGCAGTTCAGAGTAAGATGAGTACTAAGATGTAAAAACATTTTGCAAAATTTATTGTTAGCTCTGCCCATGAGTGCTTGACATCATATACAGATATGGCCAGGTTACCTATAAAATTCAGCTGCATCTACACACCCAGACAACATCTTGGAATATGCACAAAGAGCATTAAAATAGCAGCAGGCAGAGTGGTTTGAATTCCTTTTCTTTGCTCTTGTCATCTTTTCCTATAACACCACTTAGTATCTCAGTCTTCTGTCTGATCTACTAAAACAAAAAAAAAGTCACACAGACCCTTCTTCTTTTCTTTCCTGTCAGCTGGATCAGGTTTAAAAAATCCCTGCCAGCTAGACCTGAGATGATGTTCAGCATCTATTCAGTCCTCATCCAGATGTGTTCTTAAACATTTTCACCAAGATGGAACTTGAGTGAATGTTAGGGGTTGGGTCTCAGTAAGGTGGCAAGTAAAGAGTGTCAAACAGAAAGAATCTCTTCTCCTAAATGTAAGAGATGGAGAAAAATGGGTTTGGGGGCTGTTTTTTTGAATTGTTTCTTTTTTTTTTTTTTTCTTAAATCCATTATTATGCTTCTAAAAATGTTTCAAACATAGACAAAGACATGTATTTAAACAGAAACTACAATCTCACCAGGGAGGAATGATGGTTGAAATCTGCCCTGGCCAGTGTTTGCTGTTTTGTGTTAATACAAACCCAGCATTGATTGTAAAGCAGATAGTTTGTGAGAGAACAGTGTGTTCAAAAATGTTCTATTTTTTTTTTTAACTAAATAAAATATTCTTTGCTAAGCCATCTAGTAAAAGCTTGTCACAACTGTTGTACTTAACATATCAAAGCATAAGGGAGTGCTGTTTTGTGGAATTAGTGCTCAGAGGCCATGGAAACAGCTGGAAAAGCTGTGCTAGAAATGTGTTTGTGCATTGTGTTGATACTGGTGGGTAGCACCCCTGGCACAAGGAAGAGAAAATGTTTCCAACTTTTACACATGAGACCTGACTCTCCACTGTCCTGCACTTCTCTTTTCTCTACAAAGGAACTTTAAATATCTGGTCATTTGATTTGATACAATTTTACACCATACTGTACATAAATCTTTGGCCAGATGTGTGTCATTTGCAAAACGTTCAGGGCAGTAGAAGAGTTAGATTTCTCCCAGTGCAAGAAAAATAAGCAAGTTATTAGCTTTGATAGAGCACAATGTCAACTATTTTATATAAGAGAATAAATTTTTCTTTTTAGTTTGCAAAGCTCAAGTTGATCATACTTTCTCTTGCTGAAGCAGAAGCTGTAATTGGTGCATGTGAAATAATTTACAGTCATTTTACATGCACAATGTGAAATGCAGCACTGACTTAGCAAAAGGAATGTAGTACAAATTGCCATCAGGTTTGCCAACCTCCTTCAGAAAAAGCAATTCTAGAAATGTTACTGGAGTTTCCTCCAACAATGAAAAAATGATTCAGTCCTCAGGGGACCTCAGGTACTTAGAAGGCATAAGCTCCCATATGAAAGGCTTCTTGATTTTGCTGGATTTCAAATTTATTGTGATGTTTTACATGTAAACCTTGGTTTTGCAGACACTGGCATAGATCATCAGGCTCTCCTTAAGCAGTTTGAGCACCTGAACCATCAGAATCCTGACACCTTTGAACCTAAAGACTTGGATATGCTGATCAAAGCAGTGAGTCCACATAAGAACTCTGGGGATTGGGGTTTTCATTATTGTGCTTTTTACCTCGGGTCAAGGGAGGTCCTTTCCTATATCCCACATTTTATAAATGACAGGCACTTTTCATTTTCAGAGAAAAGTCAATTGTCTCCTTGCACACTTGAAAACTCCTGCCAGTGTGCATGATGCAAAAGAGTCCATAAATTTTGGGATGTCACCTTAACAGGACTTAACACTCATATGCCAGTACAAGCAAATTCGGGACTAAAACCTTTCTGAGAGCCTTTAAATGAAACACAGGTGAGATAGGGGTACCTTTTCCCCAGGTTTTTCTGTTTCTAAATGATACAGGAGTCTCACAGAATGATGCCATCATCTCTAACCTGGCCATATGAATTTTGGGATCTATTATATACACACCAAACTGCAAAACCCCAGCAGAGTAAAATTTGAGCTAGCAATATTAGAAATTGTTTATACTGGGCATGGCACTCAGTGTCTGTTCAGCAGATCCAGTAGCAGTCACAGGCATGGGGGGTTCATTCAGTTCCTCTTTATTTGGGGGGTGCAGTTAAGCTAAGCAGGGTTGGCTTTTTACAACTGCTAGAAAAAAATACACTTCCCAAGGGGAAAATTGTCTCAGATGGAGCACTGCATGTCTGACATGAGAATTTGACAGCTTTTATACTTTCAAAATACATTGAAAGATAATTTCTGTGTGATTTTTTTTTTACCCTTAGATTATCTCCATTTTAGATTTTTATCCCCATTTTCTGTAGAATTATTCTGTATAGAGACATTATAATTTTTCTAAACATTTCTGGACATCACTTCTGAGAAAATTTTGGTTGGCTTGGAGAAGCATATCCTTAACAGGGCAGTTGTTTTTTTATTACATATTTTATTGTTTTGTCTTCTCATTTCTCAGCCAAGATACTGGCAGGGTGTAATGGACACTTAAGGGAGTCTTAGCTTTGGAATTGTTTTTTAAAACATGCAGTGAATCTGAAAAGTAAAATGTAAATAATGGAGAGACAGTATCAGGTGTAAACATGTTACTTTGAAAAGCACTACCAAAACATCCTTTAATACTTTGACCTGTATGAAAATGATGACTTTATACAAGAACTTTTCAAAAATTCTCCTCTCATACCCTTTCTCTCCATTTCATTGTTTGTGGTTTTTAAATTTAATCTTTATTAAGCTGCTGCAAACTAAGTCCCACTATTAATGAAGGCACTGTGATCCAGCTCTAGGTTAAGCTACAAATGTTCTTATTCTGAAATGATCAAGGAGTTAATGGTACTGTTAGTATAGGACTTGATTAATTAGAGCTCATTTATTACTCACTGATGAGGAAGGACACCTTGAAGCCTTCTTACAGCCCTATTAATTGCCAAAGTTGTCCAACAGATGAAGCATTACTAATTAATGTAATAAAATAACCAAGGGAGGACAGATCTTTGTGCTTCACTGTCATGTGAAAGGATCCCCAGCCAGTCTGGCCTGAATGGCAAAATGGCCAGCCTTGCCCATGGGTCTGAACAATACAGTGCTTTTAATGCCACCTGATATTATATAATCACCTGTCTGCATCCATCTGTATTTTTAGGCTACAAGTGACCTGGAAAACTATGATAAAACTCGCCATGAGGAGTTTAAGAAATATGAGATGATGAAAGAACACGAGAGGAGAGAGTATTTAAAAACACTGGATGAAGAAAAGAGGAAGAAAGAAGAATCCAAATTTGAGGAGATGAAGAAAAAACACGGAGATCACCCTAAAGTTCACCATCCTGTAAGGCCACAGCCTGTTCTTACATGACTGAGTGGGAGCTTTCCTTTGCAGAGAGGAAAAGGGAAAAGCTGCAGAAGGCTGTGTTTGGTTTGTTCTCATCATTTGCCTCCCCTTGCTCTGGGAGCAGAGTGGGCACAGTGCTGAGAGCATCACAAACCCCACTGTACAGACTCCCATTCTTTGTGTAAAGATGTGTTATTTGCTGCCAGAATTGCTACAAAGACACTGAAATTCATAAGGAAGAAGCCAGAACAGTATTCAGAAGTGTAGGGATGCCTGCATGGTGTGCCTGGCCTGCATCACAGCACCATTTCCTCTAGGAAAGGCAGAATCATTCAGCTCCCTTCAGATGGGGCTGTGTGGCCATGGCTGATTATTACAGGTGCTCCTTTGCACAGAATATGCATTTCCTTTACACTCCCTGTTTCCCTGGGCTTGTCTAGTGAAAGTATTAGACTTGACCAAAAGGGAATGAAAGAAAATGCCACTGGTTCCATTTGCCACATGACTAATCAGCAAATAAAAGAAACCTGTCAGAGAAACCATAATGCAAAGGTAATGCAGGGAAATTACACTCTATTGTCTTTTGAATAGTTTTTCTTTGTAACCAATCCATAGGGAAGCAAAGATCAACTGAAAGAGGTGTGGGAAGAAGCAGATGGACTAGATCCTAATGAATTTGACCCCAAAACATTTTTCAAATTGCACGGTAAGAGGTTTAGTTTTAATCTAATGATCAAGTGAAGTGACTTTGTTACATTTTGCTGAGGACAAGTTTGTCATATGTTAGGATGAAATTTTGACCCTCAAGCAACTTTGATAAATCTGAATAGTACAGAGGAGAAAATATTTGTTACTGGTTGTAGATTTTGTGCAATGCTTTAAATGGAGTTGAAAATTTAAAACCATTCAGAGTTTAATTTCCTACAATCATACAGGCAAAGCCCAGCAGTGATTCCTTAGGGAAGTGTGGGTACTTAGAGGGCTGTCCCTATCTGTAACTTTGCTTGCTCAGGGTGTACTGGGAATAAATAAATCCTCAGAGATTTGTGTAGGGGCAATACCTGCTTTCTCATCATCTCTGCAGATAATGAATCTTGGGAGTGGTCATAGAAGGGCCAAGCCTCTTCAGAAGTTGCAATATTCCTTTGATAAAACAAAAACCTTCTAATCCTGCCTCTAGATTTCTGAGGAATGGGCACTAGAAACAATTAGCAGTAGCAGAGATGAGGATGCATCTCAGTGAACATCTTGCTTTAGATGGATCACTAATTAGCAAGTATTCTCCTCTCTGCATTTGTCATGAAAAGTCATCTCAAGTGCTGCATGTTTATATAGATTTTCATGTAATTCTTTAATTTTTTGGGGACTCATATTGTCAGTTAAAAGTTTTTCTGCAGAATCTTACTGCTCCTGAGTCTAACTACAAATTTAGTGGTTAAATGGGGACAACTTGTTCTCAGCAATATTTTTTGGCAGTTGCAGTCTGTGCAATCCTGTGGTGACCTATTTCAGTTTGCTAATCTGAGAAGTAGAGAGATTGCTCCAGACTTGTCCAACCAACCAAAAGTGACAATACACTGCAGCCAATGCCTGATAAAAACGTGAACAGAAAAAACAACCTGTGTAACCAGCTTCTTGTTAAATGTGGACACTGATCCTTTCTTAACTCTTAGAGATCTATTATGTGTATGACTTTCTATACATACTCAACTTATATTTTTAAAACTTCTCTTTGTAGATGTCAATAATGATGGTTTCCTGGATGAGCAAGAATTAGAAGCTCTATTTACTAAAGAGGTAAAAAAAAAAAAAAAAATTCAGAAGCTTAACTTCTTTCAGTAAATGGTTACAGGGATGTCTGTTTTTCCCAAGTATATTTGGGGGCTTTGGACTACAAAATGGAATATTCATACTGAGTTTCATGCATCCTTAATATTTCTACAAAAGTGTAAAACCTGTCAGCAGGTGGAATAAAGTAGCTGAAGCACAGGAGTCAGAAATCAGAAATCTAGTGCTCATGTATTTCTCTGCCCCAGGCTTGCTGGACATTCTCTAAGTAACCTGCAGGACAATTATTACCTGTATAAATTGCAGTGTAAAGAGCTGCTCTCCCTAAGTTCAGCCTCATAAAGGTTCTGGAGCTGGGCTCCAGTGCTCATTGTGTGTTCATCAACAAGTCTGTGAGAAAAAGGCTCACACTTTTTTGGCTTGGCTCACTGTGGAAGTGGCTACAGAAATTTCAGATATTTTATGTCTGGCTAGTTTGAAGCACACATACAACTGATGAATTAGGCAGGGTCTTAGTTTCTTTAAGCCTTGGTTTGTTGTCTGAAAATTTAACTCTGGTACAATAATTTGCCATAATCTCCTTCACTACAAAGAAAATACAGTGCAGTCTTTTTTTACAGATGTCTCACTGTTTTATAGTTGTGTAGTGTAAAAACTAATAGCATGGTGCCTTAAAATCACCTGAGGCTGGGCAAGTGAATTGAATGAAGCTCAATGCCTGAGAAAGCCAAGTAGAAGCACATAGGCATGAACTCTCCAGAAAAACATTGTGCAAGAAGAAAAGTGAACCATTCAATTTGGCACCGAATTTGTCTTGTGATACCCTGAGTGCTTCCAGGGTCAGTGCATGGCCTGGTGAAAAAGCCCCTCTGTCCCCTTCCAGGAACCACTGGAACCTGTGCCTGCTTTGACTCAAACGTGGACTCAGGCTGTGCACACTGAGGTCAGCTTGACTGTGACATCCACAGCACTGAATTGTAACAGACCACGTGAATTAACTGAAAACTTCATTCTTAGGAAAGAAAGGCTCACTTGTTGCTTAAATACTGTGCTGAAAGAGGAAAATTGCACACACACATCTCACACCACTCTTCCAGATAGGCTCTGCCGTTTCAATGAGCAGCCTTTTCTTCAAACTAACATGTACTAATTTTAAATTTCAGTTAGAAAAAGTTTATGACCCCAAGAATGAAGAGGATGACATGGTTGAAATGGAAGAAGAAAGGCTGAGAATGAGAGAACATGTAATGAATGAGGTGGGGGCTGATTGTCTTCTGTGTTCAAAAATAGAGTTCTAATAGGAAGTGTTGTCCAAGAGCAGCAGTAAGGGATGGCCTGTCACACTGAGTGCTGCCTGTGCTGGGATTCATGCCAAGTGACCATTCTCAAGCCCTGTCCTTTATTGTGATGTAATGCTTGCTGACTAGTTTTTAATTTAAGGAGTTCCAGAGAAGGAATTGTTCTATAGCCTCGGTTGTTTGCAGATACTGAGATTGAGCAGAAATTCCCTGTGAGCTGTGTGTCAAACAAGCAAGGCTGTAAATGTGCTTTGGCACTTGGCAGATGGGTAAGATTTAGGTGTGAGAGGAGGGAGCAGAGCAAAGTTTCTGTCACAAAGCTCAGCTTTGTCCCTTTGAAAGGGGGCTCAGAGCTCAAACTTATTACCTGTGACAGTGAAAACCTCCCCTGTGCCTGATGGGTTTTCAGCTCAGGAGACACAGGATTAGAATGAGGGTGTTTTGAGCCACTGTTTTCCACCCATAATATTTCTGTATTCAACTGTATTCCTTAAACTGGAGGAACAGAGCAAGTGTGGTCATCTATTAGTCATAAAGGGAAGCATTTCCTCCCTTCCCCTTAAAGGATTCTGACACAATTCAGTTGGGTGGGATTTTTGTTTTTCAAAACCTCCCCCTCCAACAGTGGAGATAATTTTGTAACTGTGAGTCAGAGTAGTTACCAGAAAGCTACAAAACATTTTTTCTCAAAAAAACCCCCATACATTCCATTATTAGTGTTTGCACTGTGAGCACAAGTGTTTCCAATAAACTCAGTGATTTTGAAGTAAAATGTCAGGACTTACTTTGTAGTTCTATTTTTGTTAAGCTACATAAGCTTGGGAGAGAATTTTTCAGAAAACGTTGTGGGCACTCCCTTGAAAATAGGACACTTGAAAAATTGAAAATGGCTATATTTAATTGATGAAATTAAAACATGAGCTCCTCCAAAACCTCTCCTTTAGCTTGAGCTTCATTTTTTTGCTTCAAATAGGTTGACATCAACAAGGACCGGCTAGTGACTTTGGAAGAATTCCTTCGAGCTACAGAGAAAAAGGAATTTTTGGAGCCAGATAGCTGGGAGGTAATGAAAATGTGTTCCAAGTACAACACACAGCACCATTACCAGCACTTGGAGCAGGAAACCAAGCGGGCATGTCTGTGACCTTTGTTTTTTTTCAGCTCTGCTTTGGTATGTGTGTCGTTCAGCCCCTGAGCTGAAGCAGCATTCAGCTGCTAAATGTAATGCAGATGTGAACTGCACCAAGGGAGAAGGACTGGCGCCACCCCGGGGATTCGGGAAGAGCTTTTTTCACACGTGCTTTTCACATGGAAATGCACATTTTGTTTATGAATCACTTCAAAGGGAAGATAAGAGCTCAGCTGGAAGAAAGAGGATATTTTTCTCCTACATCTAAATCCGTAGTAGAGCTTTGTTGAGAAAATAGCTGAGAAATTACTATTTAGTGGTTTTCATTGAGTGCACACGGTGTCATGTCTCACTATTTTGTTCTGAGGGTTTTTTAGTGAACTGTGTAAGAATTTCAGTAAGAAAATAATAGAAAACCCCCCCATGCTTTCCTGGCTAAGTATTCATACTTGTATCTATTTGCTTGCAGACACTAGATCAACAGCAGCTCTTCACCGAGGATGAGCTGAAGGAATTTGAAAATCACATTTCCCAGCAAGAAGATGAACTTAGAAAGAAGGCAGAAGAACTTCAGAAACAGAAGGAAGAGCTACAGAGGCAGCACGATCAGCTTCAGGCTCAGAAACAAGAGCTGCAGCAGGTACATGTGAGGACAGCATATATTTGTTTTCATCTTTGTCCTTTTATGTGTCATGGCTCTTCACAATTCCCAGCTCTGGAGATTCACCTCGATTTCTCCTCATGTGAATCCCAGCTGAGTTCTAAACTAGTGGTACCACAGCAAACCATAGTCTGGTGTTCCAAATTAAAGTAACTCAGCACTACACCCACTGAGAAAGACCTGACATAACTGTGAAATTTGGTTTGGCTGCATTCATTGATGTCACATCAGAGAAAGCTGACAAATTCAGGTTTGTCAACTGTTGTATTTTATTTTTCACCAGGTTGTAAAACAGATGGAACAAAAGAAACTACAGCAAGGAAATGCTCCTGCAGGACCAGGTGGAGAACTGAAAATCCAACCCCGTATGTGTCTGTGTACATATACAAACTTTAAATTAAGATCTGCAATGTAAAAGTTATTACCTCCATAGTTTCTGTTAGAACTATTAACTTAATGCAGCTTTAATGACCTTTGGAGAGAGGTTCACTAACGTGTCTTTCAGAGGGAAGTCTGTAACTCCTGAAATCTCACTGCTTTTAAGTCCATAGTAAGAAACCAGAGTCCTAACACAAGGCATCCAGTGGGCAGAGAAGGAGGATTGTGTTGTATTAATCTAAAATCCTGAGATCTGGGGTATCCTGGGAAGAACAGGGACATAAAAAAGACAAGTTCCCATGATCTATGGCTGCACTGCAGTCTCAGGCTGCAGAACAAATCAGAGCATTTCAAATCCTCAGTGGCCAGTTTGCCAGCAGCTGCAGCCACAAGAAGTTACCCTTGGGCAGCAAGAATGACCCATTGCTCCAGCACCTTCAGGAGAAGGCAGTGGCACACGAAATCTGCATTTCATCACTGTGGCAGCAAAGCAGTCAGGTTTATATTAGCACTTCTTAGCAGATTGCCCAGGTTTCCTTTGTGCCTTAAAGGGGCTCTGCTGCCCCATGCATCCTAAATGAGCCAGAAAGGTTTTAACTGTGCTTTTCGTGGCTTTATTGGCTTCCATCTTCATGTGGTGACATGATCAGTGAAGCTCAAGAATTTCTTGATATTGATCTCAAATTTTCAGATCTATCCAGGCAACCTTTTGAGTACCAGGAGCTCTTAAGTGCTCCTGCAGGGCCAAGAGTGGGATTTCAAACCTCAGGAGCTGTGCTCAGTGATTACAGCTTACCCTGAAATTCTGCCCACTCAGTGATGAGATTTCAGAACCAATTTAATCCCACCTTTTATTTGCTTTGAAACTGCCTGTGGGTAAGTTCATTTTATGATCTTTCATTCCAAGAGCCTAATTCCCTTCACCTTCAGTGCAATTGCAGATGATACATCTTTTGATACTACAATATTGTAGAGTTACTGTTCTTAACACATGTATTATTTTATGTAAAATCATTCTGTAAAGTCATTTAATTAGGTGTCATGAGAATTTATTATATTGGCCAGAACTGGTCACACCTCATTCACTGAATCAAGGATGTCCAAGTAGAAACTACTTTAGATCTGTAGGCCATTGGAGCTACTAAAAGTAAATTAAGAGGAAAAAAAAAAAACAAACAGAAATGGAGCTGCATGTTCTGAAATCTTCTATCAAACTATGAAAATTAGTACTACTCAAATGTAGGCAAAGGGAGAACATTGATGCAGTAAGGAGTAACATAGAGGAGCAAGTCATTAATAATTTATTTTTCAAGCTTCCCATATTGAGGTTAAATGTCTCATAGAAACATGATTTATTTTAGAAGGAACAACATGTTATGTGAGAATATTTCACAGAAAGCAGAAACAACTTAAAATGTAAGAGGTGACACTGACTAATAGTGCAGAGTGCTGAGTGTCAATCCAATTCCTTTGTTAGGCACACAGAAAACTCCTGATTCCATTTTTAAACCAGAAAACAGAAAGTTTTGTTTGAGTGTCCCTATGCTGGAAAGATTCTTTTCGAGAATTTTGACATTTGTGGCCATTTTACTGAGGAGTTACAGATGGTTCTGTTGTGTTTTACAGCTGGTGAACACAAAGCTGGAGATGCAGCACAGCAGCCAGCAGGAGGGGACCAGCCTTTACCACCAGGACACGTCCCAGAGGCAGCTGTCAGAACTGATCAACTGCACCCTTAACCACTTGTGCCTCAACTTTATAGCATCTTTATTATTTGGGGTGGGGAAGGGGTGGGAGGGGACAGGAAATCAGAGTGAAACATCAACTTTCTCCCTTCAGACTGGAAAATCATTGGGAATGTTAAAGTATCAAATCAGGTCTGATTTATAAATTAAATTAATTTTGTTTCTAATGCATCAGTGAGAAACACAAGGGGATCAAGAGGATATAATAGAGGAGGAAATTAAGGAAACCATTGCTACTAAAGGTTTTTATGGCCAGGGGACTGAGCTGGTGAACTGTCCCCTCACAGAGAAGGAGGAGATGGTTAGATATGAATCAGAATCTTCTCAGAGAGGAAACAGGGAACAGGCCTGGATGTTAAGTTAGGTCTAGGTCGATGTAGAAACTCTTTCCAGAAATGTAAAATGAAGACCATAGACAAAGGCCTATTTCCAGCACTACCAAACCCTTTCTTCTTTGAGACCAAATAAAAATGACATTTCTTTATCACAGATAATTTGCACTTTGTAAAATTTAAAACACAGCAAAGAATTATGTGGAACAGTGAATATTTTTCATGTTTACAGAAACCTAAGAATTTCACTGAAAGCCTTCAAAAGGAATACTGTACTTGTTGTATATTGATCTGAACCGTCCTCCTTGTTGAGATTAATTCTGTGTAGCAGTTGAAATTTCAACTGGCCCTTGGGACAGTACTTTTGTCCCCATTTCTTTCATCAGATGCCAGCTGATCTCAAAATTTTGCATGTTACTAAGCTTTTTATGTTGATGGAAATATTGTGCAAAACAGAACAAGACTCACTGTCTTTTTCTGTGCAGATTATCCTACCTCCAACAAAAAAAAAAAATCAGATTTTTCCAAGGGCACCATGTGCTTCAGAGAGCTCTTCTCAGACAAGAATCTGGGATTAGTTCAGGGTCTCACTGTTGACTCCTGTGAGTCTTTCAGCAGTTGGTGAAAGGTTATGAAGTGTCCTAAGCCGGGGTGCTACTTGATTATATTATTTTGGTATTGAACCAGGATGGGTCCCTAGTATTGCAAAGCAAGATTTTACAAGAGTTAAGTTGATTTTCATGTCAGTTTTATTATAATGCTGAAATGTTGTGCCAGTGCCCCTGCTTCTCATTCATTTCAAACTGAAACTATCCTGAAGTGTAAACCCTGTGTGGATTTCCTTGTTTGCTTGGGTTTTTTGTGGTTGTTTTTTCATTTGTTTTGTTTTTTAAACACGGATTGTTGTGATTGTATAATGCTGGCTTTGAAAGGATACACACACCTCTGCTAGCATCCTTTACATTTCCTTCCTGTTCTGTGGCTAACTGCTGACAGTGGCATTAAAAGAGAGATTTTGGAGCTCAAGCAAAGAAACAGAAGCATGCCTCTGTTAGAGAAAGATGTTCCTTTCAGAATGAGACTGGAATATTTTAGGCAAAATCAAAAAAACAAAGGGCAATTGCTAACACATTTGCTATTGCCATCTGAGAAATTTCTCACTCTGAAGAATTTGGATTGATGGAAACCAGGCACATTCCTTCCATGCTGAGGCTGCTTTCATCAGACCTGGGCATATTCATGTTCTCCACACAATGCAGCAGAACTCGGTGCCAGAACAGATGAGGTTTCCTTACCTATTTTAGCCTGTTGTCATGTTGCATTTCCTTCATTTATACCACTCAATTGGACTTATTTCACCTTTTCTTTCTGTTCTTTATGCAAGTAGATGACATTTTTAGTTTGCAAAACCAATGTCTCTGCTGTTTGTCATTTCTATGCAATTCTAACAACAGTTTGATTTTGTCTTTGTCTGGAGACTAAAATATCTTTCAAAAGCCTCATCTGGTTGCAGAGAGGCCCAGACACAGTTTCAGCTCCATGAACTTTCTCTGGGGCCAGCCCTCACTTGGGGGTTGTAGCTTGATAATGGGTGAGGAAGGAAACAAAGAGGGAATTACTCAAATGTAAAGGTAAGGGGAAAGGCAAGGAGAAAACCTCCTGGGTTTTCCCCATCCCACATGAAAAGTTTACAGAGGACAGATGATACAGCCACAGATGTTTGTAGGAATTCAAGGATTGAAACCTTGCTGCCATCCAAGTCATTCCCCCAGGCTGCTGCTGCCTCCTGAGATGCCATTAAATGTCATGATGGCTCTGTAATGGAATGCTCAAGCTTCACTGCAGCCTCTTACATTTGATGCTCAAGTCCTGACTCTGCTGTTGGCAATTGTCCCCCTTTTCTCCCATGTACCTGGGAACATCCAGAGTTCTGTAAAGAATTGTAACTATAACCACAGAGAAATAAGGGACTGGAGTATCATGGGCACAAGTGCTTATGCCTGTATTCTGCTTTTCATTTAGGAGGTGATTACAACAAAATTGTATCTAACTTTATACAGACAGCAGTTCCACCACAAAGAGGCAGAGATTCGGTTTTGTACTTGGCTGGGATTTTGGTAGGAGAACAAAGGGGTAAAATTTGGTTAATGTTGTACAAATTCATATCTCTGGTGCAATATATGTAAAAAGAAAAAAAAAAAAAAAAAAGCCCCATTCTGTACTTTGTATAGATTAGTTTTTAACTGGATTAAACTGAAACTCAGCACAGTGACAGAGGTTTAATGTTTTATTTTCAGTGGGTGGGCAAGAGCTGGGTTTGTATTCATAGAATTAGAGTGGCCTGGGTTGGAAGGGACCTTAAAGCTCATCTTGTTCCAAAGTCCCCTGCCTTGGGCAGGGACACTTCTCCCAAGAACAGATTGCTCAGAGCCCCATCCAACCTGGCCTTGGACATTTCCAGGGCTGGGGAGTCCACAGCTTCTCTGGGCACCCTGTGCCAGTGCCTCACCACCCTCACAGAGGGAATTTCTTCCTAAAATCTAACCTAACACCTAATCTAATCCTTCCCTGTTTAGTTTAAAGCCATTTCCCCCTTGTCCTGTCACTCCATGTCCTTGTAAAAAGTCTCTCTCCATCTGTCATAGGCTCCCTTCAGGTAGTGAAAGGCAGCAATTAGGTCACCCTGAATCCTCTTCAGGATCCTTCCTGTTTGCCCTCCACTTCTTGCTTTCTGGAAAGATGTGAATGAAATAAAATCTAAGAGATCTTGTGCTATTCCCTGGCACCAGCTGCCCCACTGCAGTAGCTATTCACTAATTAGGTACTCAAATACTCAATTTTCTATATTCATAAAAATACAAAACAAACTAATTAAAATCTTACTGTCCCACAGCATTACAAACTCTTAACCCCACTCCACACTTCCTTGACTTGTTCACATTGAAAACAGAAATCCCAAGGAAGGTGAAGCACCCCTGGGCTTAGTCAAACATTTTTCTATGGGTTGCATTCTGTGCTTAGATTTTGGACTTGTGTTTGCCACTTCAGGATGTGAGGATGGCTGGGGTAAGGTGTCTCAGCATCCACAGGATGTGATGCCATATCCAACCTCCTTAAAGTTTTCCATCTTGTAAATGGATCTGGATGAGGAAAAATATGATGTATGGTAGGGTTGTGTACAGAAATGAAGCTTTGAACTAAGGTTTGTCCTTTGGTGATTTATGCAAAAGTAGGGAGCAGGTGCCAAGAGCTGTTCCTGAGGTTGGTCCCAATTGTACCAAAGCTGTGAAATGAGATTTCCATCTGAAAACAGCAGCACTGACTATAGTTCAGTTACATTTCTAAAACTGAATTATTTTTACATAATGAGAAAGTTTGAGTCCTATTATTTATGCATCCACAGACAGCAATATCAAAACCATGTACAGTTACCCTAATGTTACCTAATGCCTTAAAAGCTACACTTGCCAGAATCGGGTTGTATCCAACAGTAACAGTTTTTAGAATTCTAGTCTCAAAAAACTGTGCTGAATAACACCCTACCTACTTGTTTGTGTGGTAAAGCACGGTATCAGTGAGGGAAAAGATCAGTTAATTTCTAAAGCTGCATTTTTCAGTGACAAAGGCAGGGATAGAGCAGAACCGACCTGTCCATTCTTTGCCATCAATTGAAGCCGCTGTGAGTGTGAGTGGCTGCACAGCAGTTGCTGCTCAGTCCCCGTGCAAACAGCTGCTATTGATTTAACCGTGTATTTCCTAAAACACACAATAGCTCCCAGCTGCTGTGTCCCCAGGAACTGCCCTCAGAGCCAGTGCTGGGCCAAAGAAGGTGCCAGTGCACGCAAGGCACAGCCCCCAGTATCTCACTGCACACCTCTCTATCTTATCGTCGCTGTTCATTGTACACTGAGGATTCCATTTCTGTGCTCCCTGTCACCGGGGCCATGGCAGAAGGTGGGATGGAGGCACAGACAGCGCTCCTAACGCCCCTGGGCTGCTCATTCCAGGCCATCCCAATGCACAAACATGGAGGCACGGGCAGCGCTCCTAATCCCCCTGTGCTGCTCATTCCAGACCATCCCAATGCACAGACACGGAGGCACAGACAGCGCTCCTAATTCCCCTGGGCTTCTTATTCCAGACCATCCCAATGCACAGACAGCGCTCCTAATGCCCCTGGGCTGCTCATTCCAGGCCATCCCAATGCACAGACAGCGCTCCTAACGCCCCTGGGCTGCTCATTCCAG